CAGCGAGTTCGTGTTCGATACATTCCCAAACACCCGACGATTTACTTCTAGATTACTAACCCACTCAATCCATCAAACCTGGGCCAGGTACGTAAGCATCGACTATCGAAAACCACTACACGACGGATGTCATCTATCCACCAATTTAAGGTCTCACAACCGTAAAACGCGGTTGACAGCACCGTGACGCAGTATATGCGGCTTTTCAACTTCAGTGAAACGTCCCGTCGTCGCCACAGGTGTTTTAGTTCTTGTGTGCGCATCTCGGGCCTTGGAAATGACTCTCTCCTTTGATACGCTACCGCCGTTGGTCACGCAGCTACCCAAGTACGAGAAGCAGTCAACTTCAGCTAATTCCTTGACATCCAGTTTCAGAATGGGACTCGGTGACAGTCTTGTAGCATCACTTTGCACTTTGAAGTTACAAAGCGCAAACCGAACTTGCTAGTTGCACTAGCTAGTGCACTTTGTGCAGTCTCCATACATGTGAAAAGACACGATACCATCAGCGTACTATAAATCGCACAGCTTTTCTCCAGCTGCCCATTTAATACTTACATTTTGAAGACCACTGGGTGCGTTCACCAGTATTTCGCCTATGACGAAATTGAACAAGAATGGCGAAATAATGCACCCTTGACGAACACCGCTGCTGGTTGCGAACGACCTATTCAGCTCACCGTAAGCCCTTGCAATACCAGAAGTATGCGAGCAGAATGACTTCAAAAGATACACACTTTAGCGGCATTCCTTTACGAAGGAGCAAACCCATAAGGGACTCGCGGTCAACCGAGTTGGGGGCTCCTTTTAGGTCAGGAAACACGACACTCGTTGGCCGACGATGTGTATGGCGCAGCTCTAGCACTTGACACAGCAGCCCGTAGGCAATGAACTGTCTACGGACAGCACAGATGAGCGCGTCTCCAGGTCGCGGATAGGAGAACGACCACCTTGGTGGTTAAAAGTAAATAGGTAGAGCTACCTCACTGAATAATCGGTCGCGGACGATCAGCGGCGATGCTAGAGGACGTGATGGGTTTTTCGGCTGGCAACCCATATCCCGTTCAAATGCCATAAGTGTCTGTTGACAGCATCGCGACGTGTGTGAATGTGGCCCGCCACCAAATAAGGCCATTGCTACTTGCCTACTCTTACGGGTAGTGCAAACTATGAGGAGTGCTACCTCACGGACACGTTGGGAATCCTGGACTGGCGCAAAGCCATCCGAAAAGCGTATGAACCGTTCCGACGGTCACCGGCTACCAACAATTCTACCTTGTTACCCTGCAGGTCGCACTTGGTCGTGCAAGGGTTAGAGGTGCACTCCCGAACAAAAGCCGAGCTACGCTGGGGACAGTCACTTAGTACCTCATTCCCAAGTTTCTTCATGGATTGTCTTACAATGGTACATCACGTTCATGCTACGGCATTCCCGGGAATCGTCGCGCCCTGCGCTCTCCCAGTGGCTGGGGTGACAAATGAACAAGCTGGGAGCCTACACCATCTATGCACCAGATCCAGCATCCATGTAGCCTGCTGGAGTGTTAGAACATTGCTAGACATAGGAAGCCAATGTATCACGATGCGATCACTGCACGACTATAAGGTAGAAGACGAGGCTGCACCTTGACGTGGTGATGGCTTGTGCACCTCTCTGACCCAACAAGCTACACAGGATGACTTTCGTCAGGCCGAAGAGCTAATCATGCCTGGAAGGTTGAACGGTAGAGGTCGAACGCAGTCCAGTCTTCTGGTCCTCAAGGTTGGGGGTTTGACTAGAATTTGCGTTTCAGTCGGTAAAAAATGGTGGAAGAGTAATTGATCCAAGTAAATGGGCCTCCACTTGGCTTGCGGCTAGGTTCTTGTCCGAACTAAAGGCTTTGGTTTAGAACCCTAAACCTTCTCCTGCTTAGTGGCTGGACACCCTAGCAGTACCCGTTCATCAAACCCCAATACATTAGCATTGCGAGTTTGGCAGCGATCAGTGAAGTTCGCTTCTCTGTATTTCGCTGCCCGATGATGATGACGATGATACAAGGTAGACATCAGTCCGAAGTCCGACTACCTAACTGTGGCACAAAACTAATCAACATACCACATAGCCACGCAAAATACCGGTTATACCACAGTGGTCCAACTGACCATTCCAGTTTGCACGGGTAGCAGTCGTCGTGAACGGCCAGGCCAACAATGCCATAATCTCCTGGGAATCATTCTCTCCCAGGAGTGACAGCGCGCTTCAGGGGAAAGCCGTTTAACCGGACTGTCATCGCAGTGTATGCTCCAACACCACATGCGGAAGAGCCCATCAAAGACGACTTCTACAACCAAGTTCAAGAAGTAGTGGACCGCAGTCCAAGACGCGGCATCCTCATTATCACAGGAGACTAGAATGCACGCATTGGCCCATCAAACGAACATACTCGGCATGTTCTGGGAAAGTTCAGCCTTGGTCAACGTTGTATAAATGGAGAACGCCTAATCACATTTGCTGACCTTAACCGGCTGGTCGTGGCCAACAATCGTTTTCAGCACCCCCAGAAAACACCTGCTCACGTGGTACTCAGATGATGGTCGAACGGCACACCAGAGTGACAATATTTTGGTACGTCCTCGCTGGGCCTCTTCGATGGAAGACTGCCGTTCCTATCGCGGCGCAGAAACTGGAACGGTAAGGACCATACCCTTGTACGCGCCCGCTTCAAGATCCACCTGACTACTCGCCAGAAGACTCGTCTCTCGGGCAAATTCAACGTCGCGCTCTTGAAACAACCTGAGATAAGGCAGGCGCTGCTGGACGCAACCGCTTCCAACATAGCCGAAACTTTCTTTGATGGCTCGACCCACAGTGGTCTACACTAAAAACATCCATCAGAGAAGCGGTGTTGGGACAGTTAGATGAGATTCTTCCAAGCTGGCTCTCTGCAGATGTCAAGCAGTTCGGAGATTTGCATCAATTGTGACCCACCTAGTACGACAGAAATCATCAATGTAGTCACTTCTCTGAAAAAGAGGAAGACCCCTGGAGAAGACGGGATACCACCCGGGTTATTCAAAGCTTGTGACATAATACTTTGTACATCGCGTTTCTGACTCTTATCTCCTCTCTCTTTTTCAGCTTTCAGACGTACGCTGTAAGTCGAATAAAGCCTAACGTTTGGGCCTTTCTCGTTCTGGTTTCTCGTGCATGATGCTATGACACTACAGCTTGCTTACCAGCTCTGATCGATCCGCTGCACTCTGTTTTCCACACCATTTGGGAACAAGGAGTTTTTCCAAGACTTCAATTTTAGTCCCGGTTCTAAAAAAGGTGACATATCGAGATGCGAAAATTACAGGGATATTAGCCTCATTGATATTGCAGCCGAATTGTTTGCAGTGATACTGTTTAATCGCTTTGCAGTCGTCAGAGATACCCGCACTCTCCCGAACCAAGGGGGGTTTCACCGCGGAAGAGGATGTGTTGAACAAATCTTCTCCGTAGGATTCTGGGACACCGCTACAAGTTCCAACAGCCTACCGCCGCATGTTTCATTGACTTCGCGCTGCGTTTGACTCTGTCGAGAGAGAATCCTTATGGTGCATATTGCGGTCCGACGGGATGCCTGAGAAGTTCATCTGGCTTTTAAAGTCATACTACTTAGGAACCCGGGCACGCGTCCGTATCTATAAAGAATCAGCTGAGTTTACCCTAAGCTCTGGAGTTAGACAAGGTTGTCCCCTATCGCCGGTGTTATTCAATTACACCGCAGATTGGATAATGCGACAAGCACTCATCGACTACCCTGGAGTGCAGCTTGGCCCAGGTACATGAATTGCGGACCTCGAGTTTGCGGATAATGTCGTTGTACTCGGAGACAGCATGGACAACCTCCAGCCTGTTGTCAGTCGTATAAATAAGTTTGCCCAGTCCATTGGGCTAGAGATCAACACCTTGAAAACGAAGATATTTTCGACCGAAACTTCTATCATGACACAACCCCTCTCGATTAACGGGGAGCTTGTCGAATTAACCGAAGTTTTCCAGTATCTTGGCTCTACGATAAGACCGACGGCGGCAGCTACATTCATTTCGGTCGAGAGGAGGGCCTACAGCGTATTATGTGTGAAGTGGAATCCAGTGAGGTGCCAGACGCTAATCTCCAGCCACACGTTGATGGTATCTCCATTCAGGAACTCTACCGTTCGACTGGGGCCGATTTTGGGACACACTCTAACACCGTTATCCCATATGTTCCTAGTGGGACTGTTTTGTGGTATGTCCAAGCCCGGAGAAGTCCACGAGTACCTATCAGACACCACTGATGAGTTGGGAGCGCTGACTTTAACGGGTATTTAGTTCCGGAAAGACGATAAAACGATCGAAGTGATTCTGCACAGCGTCATCGCGGATGCCCCAACGAATAGCCATATAAAGCAAGTCAAGTAGCATCCCGGTTACTACAGCTGCTCTCACCGTACTTGCAAAGGTNACAACCCAAGGGTGGCTGAGGTCGGACGCATACTATCATTCAAGACAAAAAAGCACCAGACGGGTGCTCTGCCATTTGAAGCCTTGAACGTTGACATGATAAAACAATTCCCAATTGACTACGTATGCGGTGTGTCAGGGGCTTATGAAAATTGATAGCTTTAGTGCAACGACGGAGTCGAACATTACGCAATCCGGCCGGGTGCTTCGATTGCCAATTAACGAATCGCGACCATAAAAAAACACTTCTTGGGAAGTACAAGGTGTTTGCCAATCATTATCTGATTACGAAATGTGGAAGACCACGGAATTCAAGCAGTTTCGGCTGTAAATTGGTCCGGTAGTTTTACGAGATACCCTGCAGTTTTCCACTCTTTCTTGTTCAGCCATTTGATGAGTTGTGGCAAGCGGCCTAATTAATATATGGACTTTGTTGAATGCGTGGCTAATTGGAGGAAACTACATGCATCCGTATGGTGAGTGGGAGGCCATTTTCAACGTTCATCCATTGTAAACCTGGCGCATTGGATTTGTTTTACGCCTTCCACTACGAATCATTTTTATGCAACTGATAGGATAAACAAAACGTCCAAGAATTTTGTCGAGTGTCGGAGTGAGCTGCGGATGCCACGCTGTATCATCCAATTGAATTATTTGATGACACTCAGAGCTAACGGAATCGACACAGCGTTACCAATACTGTTATTGATGGTACTGTTTACATAGATAGCTGCCCCACCAACGCAGATTTGGCGAACAAACATCCGTCGATCACCAAACAGATGATTAGTGAATCTGTTGATTTCCCCAGTCATGGCTGGTGAGGGCTACTTCTTGAAACCGTTGCCTTCTTGGCATGTCAGAATATTTCGCTAGTTATGTGCAAAACCATTACTACACCATCAACATAAAAGACGTACAGTGAAAAGGGCTACTGCTTCAAGAAGAAGAGGACAAGGTAATTTCACGTAAATACATACTTGGGACAAATCAAGGTTGGATTGCATGCTTATCATTATGCTATTCATACACAAATTACGACTAGACTTTTTTTCTTATCACAGTTGCTCGTCGCAGTGGAACTTTCGGTCGACAATTCGGTTGTTATCGTTGGGTGGAAGGCGGAAACGAAGTTCATTGGACCCGAAGTTCAACTGCTAAAGTGGAGCGAGTTGTTAATGAAAGGATACCACCACCAAAACTGTATGATGTACACCTACACAAGACAGTCAGTGAGTGCAGACGTTCGCTTAATTAGTATTCAGAAACTTTCTCAGGGGTTATCCGCCTACAAGCGATTTTGTAGTTAACAGCGAACTGCCATCTACCGATGCGACAGTTTGTATTCAAACATCAAACAAGAGACTACGGTGAGTTTGCCTTTCCACTCACATGGTTGTAGGAAAAAACGATGTTTCTCATCAGATTCCAGGGAATCTGATAAACACCCCAAAAGCCGACGTAGTTCAATTCGATTTTACACCAACACCAAGAATTTCGCCAAAACAGGTGGTGCGCGAAGCTACGGTGATAACCTAGACACTAGGGACACCGGATTTAAACTATGCATGACATTACATAATATAATATATCATACATTTTAGCTTACTTTTTACGTCTGCATCGTTTGCCTGTTGCACGCCGATATCGGTATCAACACCCAATGACAGGTAAGGTTTCATTTCTAAATATATCACTTAGTCGACGTTCTTAGGATAGTAAAGTACAAACGACAGAGCACCTCATCACGGGAATCGGAAACCTTTTGAGATGGTTAAACGTGTGCAACAGTGTTAGATAAGAGAAATGCTCTATGTATCTGCATCTCAGCCTGTCAAGAGAAAATTATCGAGAAGTTAACAACCGGATTGAGCGACATATATAATGAGCGGCAAAAACGGCAACGCTTATCAGATTCCGGATTTCGCAATACCAGTCCGGTCCCAGTTCCCATAAAAATTAACGAAGACTATTAACTGCTGTCGCATAGGTTGAAAGATAAGACAACTTATGAAAAACCTTCCAGTTTTACTTGAGTAAAACATTCAATTGCACCACCTTTCCAAATTTGGCAGTTGTTCAGCAGCTGATGATACCCAGACAATTTTACGGACTTTATTCTCTGCCTCCGTTTTGTTTGCGATCAACCGGGGAGGTGTCAATGGTAAACTACCGTTGGCTGAGACGACAGTTTGCTAGCCCATCAACAGTAAGTTAGTGTTCACTTGTCGCTTATTGTAACCAGATCTGGCAGATGCTGTAATGTGCAAAAGCTGTCCTGATTTTTTTACTACACACTTTCGTGTGATGAACAGCAGACGGTGTGAACCCCATAGTCACTATGACGTGCTGCTCGGTGATGGAAACCGATAACCTAAGCAACGGGGCTTGGAGTGGTGAACCACATAACGACCTAGTAGGTTAGGCGTGGTATGGAACAGGATGACAGCAAAGCTGCCTACCATCAAAGTCGGGTGGCGGTGGCGGGGCTTGAACCTCGGAACATAGAGTCTGCTTAACGCTTGTAACAGGGACTATACCACAGCGCCACCACCACTACTTGATACAACGATGCTCACGGTGATAGCGAATATACGACGATGGATCCAACGATCACGACAAAAAACGAACCTGGAAGTGATGGAAGGTATATCAGTTGGTGCATCAATTCGAAGTAGGCTATATTTTTAATAAGTAATTTTTATTTAGTTTTACTTCCTGTTGAATACACAATGATACAGTTTTCATGAGGGGGGAAGCGGCCAATCAAACGGCTGCCATGGGGAAAGTCAGGCGGTGGTGGTTGAACACACGTCCCCCGACATTTCATTGACTTATTGATCCCAACTTTTACGAGAACTATCAATAAATTTGATGATCATATCCGTCTTATATTACTGTGGCTAGGCAATGATTTGAAAAAATAGTAGTTACCTTTATATTCCCACAGGTCAGGAGTCATTGATGCACTTTAAAAAGTGCGTTATTGAGTACCAACACACGGACCCCTGTGCGTATAGACTTGCGCGGGCTAAACTCAGTGTGCTGTATGTGTGTATGCCTGTGTTTACGCTTGCGATTGAGGGGAGGGACTCAGCCACAGATGTCAACATCTCGCGACCAATTTCTCCTTCCCCTGTATTGACGGAATCCTAAAGTTCATCGTATTAGTCAAATAAAAAACTGAAGAAATTCTGCGCTAAGGTGGTGAAGTTACCACCGGGCCACCACCACCCCGTGGTGCCATTCATCGCACAACATACCCTACAACATACCCTACCCTCCCTTTACTTACAAATGAAGATAAAGGCACCGAAACGTTGGACTTTATAAATTTTTGATTTCCTCTATATCACTGTTTCAATTTCGTGCGTAGTAGTAAATGGTTTGTAGGATTGCGAAACCGATAAAATTAGGACGCGTGGTGGCGTGATTGTGGTCGGGGAATGCAGTGCAGACGTGATTAAAGAAGGATACGTTGATAGTTCAACTTTATGGTGTGACAGTAATTACGGTAGAGTCAGAGAAGCGATGAGAAAGAACTGGAATTTGGGGTCATTAGTGCGCTGTTTGTCGACTCTCCTCTGATGTTTCAAAAGGGATGCCCGAGGGGGACACTCGTGGGACTAGAACTGGTACATTCTGGGGGATACTCATGTTGTTTATGAGGGTTTCCACCCATAATTGAAAGCATAATGGGTGCATGAAATCATCTTTATGTTAAGAAGGCAGAGGGACCGCGCCCCGTATAAGCGTCTTCATCGCCAGTAGCGATGGCAACCCGCTCAGTGGTCTGCAAGCTGCCATCGTCTCACTAAGTGCTCGTCGAGACGACGTTTGAATCGCGCCTCGTTCTGCTACTCCGCCACCTCCGACGGAAGCGAATTCCAGGGAGTAATCGCCCTCCGGGAAAGGCGATAGCACAAAGGAAGCCCTGTCATCTGAAATAAACAGCGAACGTTGAAAATTCCCAGCGGCGAAAGAAGTTCTGACGTCAATGTAATGGTAATCTCTGTGGTTCCCACTTTTTTCAGTTTCCTAAGTACACTCAGTAAACTTTACCTGTGAGTAAAAATATTTTTTCCGAAAATGTCACGCCCCTCCCCAAGGAGTCTCACTTGCAACTAAAAGACGAGAACAGTCACTCAGCTTGTAATTCCAATGAGCCTCAATTGAATAAAATAAAGTTTGTGACGGACTTACATGCTCATCAAACTCATATGGTACAATTCCATCGCCAAAATCATGTTCGAGGAATATATCACCACGTTTCTGTATGTCATAGCCCACAATCATCATATCTGCATTGTGGAACAGGCTCATACATCCAACATTCTCAGCACGACCATCAGTACAGATCACACAGGTAACCTCTGTTTCTGGATTAGAAACTCCGACAGCTTTCAGGGAAGAGATAAGATTGGGTCCATCCCAAACAGAGCCTGGATTTACGACCATGCATCCAGATGGACCCCGAAGAAGTACAGTGCTGCATTTCTTTTTAACTCCGTTTTCATGAGGGGCATGTTCGCCTCTGCGCAGGATAGTAACGATGTACCCTTCACCTTCCATTGGTGAAAAATCTAGAAACAAACCGTAGCGCTCAAAACCATAAAGGCGCGCGCTAATTCAGTTCAGTTCAGTCAGTTCAGTTCAGTTCAGTTCAGTTCAGTTTGCACAGGACGATGTGTGGCCCAGGCCAATCTTGCGTCCAGATTGATGTGTTGTTGGCTGTTCTTGTGGCTTCCAACACTGCGAGT